CACCCCCACCCCGATCAGGACGGGCAGCCGGACTCCAGCCATGCATAAAGGCCTGGCTGGAGATTTGGGCCGTCTCACCCAGTTCAGATTGGGGCAATGGGGGCTGGCCGGCCAGCCAGCTTGGGGGGTGTGGCGGGGAGGGCCACAGGAGGTTGGCTGTGGAGCGCACTGACCACCCGGGGTCAGCTCCTGTGTTGAGTGTCTGCCCCCTGGTGGTAACTGCGCATCATAGCGACTGGCCGACTGGTTGTTCTGGCCGTTGTGGTCGTTCGGTCGTAACAGTCACTTAGGATTTTATATATATAGATAAATGGTATTACTTTGCTACTTCTTCTTCCTTATTTCTTTCCTCTGTGGTTGGAGAATAGGGGACTAAAAGGTGGAGACAGAACTGTGGCTGGGCCTGGGGCTCTTGTAGGCAGCAGAAGAAAGGAGAGGGCTGGGGAAAGTCTAGACACGGTTTTCTTCAATTGTCCTCCCTTCCTCTGGGCCTCTCACTCTGTTCTTTCCTTGTCGTGGTGGACGCTTGGGCCTTGGAGTGACAGGAGCCCAGCAACAGTGGAGTTCAGCCCCCTCACTTCTCAGCTGAACATACAACTGCCTCACATTCCAAGTGGAACTGTTTTCAAGTGGCTAACATGCTGGCAATTCATGCCTCCCAGCCTTTACCCTCTCGGTTTCCTCTTTGGGTCAGTTGCAAACTTCACTGAGACACCAAAGCAACTCTGCCCTGGTAGTTCTGCACCAGCCCCTGCACTCTTCCTTGAGGTCTCTGGGTCCACAGTCTGAGCTCAGGGAGGTCACCCAGAGCCCCTTCCCCTGGACAGGTGGGGCAGGGGGGCTAGCTTGAAGAGCTGGAGGAAGATGGCAGAGTAAGAGTTGGTATGCACCCACGCCTGCTTAGCCAGACTTCCTAAGCTCCCCACCGGGCCCAGGTTGGGCCCCTTCCCCACACCAGGAGGATCCCAGCTGAGGTTCCCTCCCTGCACCCAGCACTCTCCTCCCTGTTCTACCACTGGGGGAAGGGAGCAGCTCACCTGCTCTGGACCCTGCCAACCTGGCAGGCTGAGGCACAGGTGGTACAGCCTAGGATGCTGGTAGCTGCGAGTCTTCTCCTCCTCCCTGAAGCATGGGGCGGGGTTGCAGCAGCTCACAGCCACCCCTGGCCACCATGCATGGAGAAACCACTCTCCACTGAGCCACCATCCACCCAGGACCTGTGGGGGTTGGGGTGGCCTCAACGGGCTCCCACTGGCCCCACTGGCCCCAGTCTCAGCTTGGCCAGCCATCTCCACCGCCCCAGGGCTGCACATGCCTCATGGGCCTCATCGCCCTCATGAATCCCCGTGGGCCGGCAGTCCCATCCCAGGAAGTGGCCATCCTGATCGCCATGGCTCACTCTCCGGTGCAGTTGGGGCTGCCCAGCAAGCATGTAGGCAGGAGCTGGGCCTCTGAGGGGAAGGAGGCGGCATGCCGGGCCAGGGCAGAAGTGGGGAACTTGGCAGTGTAAACACAGCCCCCCCCGCCACCTTGTGCCGGCCCCTGGTGCTGCATTCCCAAACCCCTGGGTGCCCCTGCCCAGCACTGTGCTCTCGGGCCTGGGGTGGGGGTGAAGGAACTGGAGCAGCGGCCTGAAGGCAGCCCTCTGTGGTTTGGAATCACAGTGGTCGATCAGGAAGGGATGCGGGATGCAAAATTCCATCTCTCTAAATCTCTCACAGGGTAGACCCGAGTCTCCGGTGGGCGGGCGGGCGAGGGCTCTGGCCAGGCGATCTGCACTGCTTGCCTTTACCCCAGCCCCTGCCCACCACCAGATCTCACTGGGACATGTCTCTGGTGGGCAGGCGAGGGCTCGGGCAAGGTGATCCACACTGCTTGCTTTGCCCCAGCCTCCGCCTGCCCCCAGATCGCATAGGGACTTGTCTCCGGTGGGCGCGTGAGGGCTCTGGCCAGGCGATCTGCACTGCTTGCCTTGCCCCAGCCCCTGCGCATTGGGACGTGTCTCCGGTGGGCCGGCGAGGGCTCAGTGGAGGCGATCAGTGCAGCTTGCCTTCCCCCAGCCCCCGCTCACCCCTAGATCGCACTCTGGAGTGGGCCCCCTGTCTGGATGGGCAGGAGAGAGCTCCAGCGAGGTGATCAGCACCGCTTGCCTTAGCGCCGGTAGCACAGGGAGGCCTGGATGGCGGCTTGCGCTGTCCTACCCTGCTTGCAGTGTGTAAATTAGCTGCCATCTTGGTTGGCAGTTCATTTGCATATCGCCCTGATGAGCCAATGGGAAGGGTAGCGAAGATATGGTTAATTACCATGTTTGTCTATTATTAGATAGGATGATGTCAAGTGTGTACTAGACTTAATGGGGTGATCACTTTGTAAATTACATAAATGTCTAATCACTATATTGTACACCTAAAATTAATATAATATTGTATGTCAACTGTAATTGAAAAAATAAAAAAATGATTTTTAAAAGACAATTTACAGAAGAAATATAAAATCATAATAAGAGCTCAGCCAGTGTAGCCCTGTGGTTGAGTATCAACCTCTGAACTAGGAGGTCAGGGTTCAATTCCCAGTCGGGGCATATGCCCAGGTTGCGGGCTGGATCCCCAGTGTGGGGCATGCAGGAGGCAGCTAATCAATAATTCTCTCTCATCATTGATGTTCCTATCTCTCTCTTTTCTCCCTCTCCCTTCCTCTCTGAAATCAATAAAAATTAATTTTTAAAAAATCATAATAAGGTATCAATTTCTGTCTATCAATTTGAATATCCAATGTTAAGAGTATAGAATTGACACTATCTAAATATCGGTAAATATGTGATTGGTACAACTCTAGTAGCATCTATTAATGTTTAAAGTGCACTCACTGTCTCAGGAATTCCACTTTTAATAGTTTATCCTGAACATGGATGCTCATCACTGTACTATCTATAATAAAGAAAATCCAAAAAGGCTAAATGTCCAACAAAAAAGACTATAACAACATGAAACTAAAATTATAACATAGATCTACACTTGCTAATAGGGAAAGTAGAATATTTCATTATATTAAATTTCTAAAGATTATAATACTACATATACAGTAGTACCATTTCTATTAAAATATATATGTGTGTGCACACAAGTGGATTAACAGAAAATCTGGAAAGAACACACATCGAAATATCAATCACCCACTCTGACTGGAATAAATACATGGCAAGCAGTAGCAAACATAAATATAAATTGCCAATAAAGGAATATTAATCCCCTAATTAACTAATTTAAAAGAAACTTTTAGATTATATAAAATTTCTTTTCTCATATTTAAACAAAATAAAATGGTATAGTAGAAAGGAAAAATCAAGAATGAAATATGTAACTTCATCTACATGATAGTTTATCAAAAAGGAATAAGCTTTTAAAAGAGTGTAACAACGCTCAAGTTAGTTATGCCCACTCTATTCCCAAATCTCCAATCTCCTGGCTCATGCCTCAAACCATGACGGGAACGTCTTGTTGCAAATTTCTTCTTTTAGAAAATAAAATGTATTAGTTAACTTGATTATGGTTATATCACAATGTATACATATGCCAAATCATCATGTTGTACACTTTACATGCGATTTTATTTGTCAACAAGAGGTCCGGCGCACAAAAATTCATGCACTGAGGGGAAGGGGGTGTCTCCTCACCCTGGCCTGCCCCCTCTCACAGTCTGGGAGCCCTCAGGGGATGTCCTACTGATGGCTTAGGCCCGCTTCTCATGGGAAGCGGGCCTAAACCGCAGTCTGGCCTCCCTCTGCGGGAGGCGACCAGGCTGATCAGGGGAAGGCACTGCCCCCATTATCCCACTGCTACCGCCACAGGCAGCTGCTGTGGCTGCAAAGCCTGAGCCCTCGGCCTTGCAGCCGCCGCCATGGCTGCCTGCCCTTGGTCCTCACAGCGCCGCTGCGGCTGCCTGCCTTTGGCCCTTGCAGCCACTGTGGCTTTGTCCGGAAGGACCTCTGGAAGATGTCCGCTCTAATTAGTATAGATTAAACCTAAATAAAGCTGAGGGAGAGAATATAGTAAATTGTACTGATCATCTGTATATTAAAAGAACACTGGGGTTAGGGTTCTCAGAAAAAGACACAGAAAAATAGATAAAGTGTCAAAGGCATTCTGGGAGTCCAAATAAAAGAATGATTCAAATTTCAAATTTAGCACACAAAAAAGTCATCTTCAAAAGAAAATTGTCATTGTAGCACACAATGCCATACAGAAAGAGCATTTAAGGATGGTAAGAATTTCTCAAAAAAAATTGTAAGTATATTTTATTGATTTTTACAGAGAGGAAGGGAGAGGGATAGAGAGTTAGAAACATCGATGAGAGAGAAACATCGATCAGCTGCCTCCTGCACACCCCCCACTGGGGATGTGCCCGCAACCAAGGTACATACCCTTGACCGGAATCAAACCCGGGACCCTTCAGTCCGCAGGCTGACGCTCTATCCACTGAGCCAAACCAGTTAGGGCTCTCAAAATTCTTATTAGATCATAGATAAGTATTAAAGTAAGAAATACTGCCCTAACCAGTTTGGCTCAATGGATAGAGCGTTGGCCTACAGACTCAAGAGTCCCAGGTTCGATTCTGGTCAAGGGCATGTACGTTGGCTGCTGGCACATCCCCAGTTTATTTTTTGGTCT